TGCGGGCATACCCGTTCAGCAGAGAATCCGAGTCTTTGGAGCAACTTCTTAGTAAAAAAAAAGTTTTTTGGTTTCAAAGAGAACAGAGGTCAGGTTCTATAACTATCTCCTGGGCCAATATACTTTAAACTCTTCAAATTCTGCGTCACCGTTGCTATGAAATCTGTTTCTGGTCATTGAGGTTTTTTTTTTACATGATGTGGTTTTTGAGTTCTTGAAAAATTCTTGTCCGGTTTCTCTGCTCTTCCTCTGGATTTGAGGATGCAAGTAAATAAATGATAGCTTCTCTCAAGCCCTGATGCTTTGATAATGGCTCTCGTTCTACGACCAGCTTCAACGCTGGGAACTTTTATCGGTTTCGGTTCAGATGAAACGGTGACAAATCGGCCGGTTCAGGTAAAATGGTGATAAACCTGTCGGTTATTTAGCAAACCGATGGTACGAGTGTCAAATTATGTGTGGGAGAATCTTTGGCAAATAAAGGAGAGCCACAAGAAGTGAAGTGAGGGACCACATTGGTGAATGAGTGTGAGTTTCTTCTTTCTTGTGTTGTGTGGTTCAATGGCCATTAAGATATCTGAAGCAGAATGGCTTTGTTTTCCATCTCAAATCCTGCCGTAGCCTGGAAGAGGAGTCCGCACAGTTTTTTCGGTTGGAACTCCGGCAAGAAAAGAGACGATCCCCAACCCGAGCAGCCGTCTTACCACGACGACGTCCTTCTTCCTTTCTCTCTCTCCTTGGTTGACAAAACCTTTCTCAAAGGTACTCCTTCTCTCTCTCTCTCTCCCCCTCCCTCTCTCTCTCTCTCTCTCTCTCTCTCTCTCTGTTAATGGTAATATAGTTTTTTTTTTGTTTTTATTACAGGGAGGGAACTGAAGTGTTGTTACAAGGCAAGCAAGGATGGATTCAGTGCAACCAAGTTCCATGAACATTGTGACTTCAAGGGCCCTTGTGTCATTATAGGTTACACCAAATCTAACAACGAGAACAAGTCCTTCAAATTCGGAGCCTTTAGCCCGGAAGGCTACAGAAGCACCGATGACTATTACGATACATTCGATGCCTTCCTCTTCTACTGGCCCGAGAACGAAGACAGTGACAGTGACAGTAACCGTGATGATCCAATCATCTTACAGAAGATAGGTGGAAGTGGGGCCGCTCTATTCGATTATGCAAGAGGCGGGCCACAGTTTGGAGCCGACGGGCTGCTCATAGGACCGCCCCTGGCTCCTGTGATGGGCGGATTTGCGGGTCCAGACACGAACTCGGGGGTCGGGGACTTGAGAATGGCCAAGTCTAGATTGGGTTTGTCATATGCAAAGAGGAAAGATGGTAAAGTTTCAATCTTTGGTGATGAGAGTAAGGCTGCTCTTGATGATGTCTTGGTCTTTTGTTGTCCTGAAATAGCTAGCTTGTACTAGTACCAGGGGTATCAAACGGGCCGGGTCGATCCGATCCGTACCAAGTCCGCACTCGATCCGAACCCGCATTCGGTCCGGGTCCGAGCCTAGTGATCCAAAAATATGATATTTATCAGTAGGATTATGCTTTGTTCATATTCTTATCTTGGATTTTTTTTTTGCCATGAACTTCTAAAAAATCTAGGGATGGTGACTTCGGTTCGGGAATTTAGTTCTGATCCGATCCGACTTGAAACCGAGCCGGATTGAATCGAACCGAATGAACCGTTTTCAAATCGAACCGTATTCTTCTACTAATATATGTGTAAATATTATAGTTTGACATATTCATATAATGGTACCGTTACGAATACGATTAATATTCGGTTTTAGTTTGGTACACTTTAAAAATCGATCAAAGACCCGAAACTACAAAAGTCGATCAAAGAGACTCAATTGGGCCTATTTATTTAATTATTTGGGTCTACGCTTGGCCCAAAGGCCCAAACCAGATAGAAACAAAACTAAAATATATTTAAATAAAGAAAAAAAACGAAAAATGAAAGGCCGAAAAGGAGAACAGAAGTGAAAAAGAAAACTGCTCTACACCACAAACGGACTCATCAATGGCGGCGGCTTCCACAGTATTCGGTCGTCTTTCTTTGGCACCGAGTTTGTCCGTCAAACCTAAATCGAAAATTTACAGAAGAGCAAACACGAGGAAGTTGTCTGTTCGAGTTCAAGCTTCGTTCTCGGACCCTTTTGTACTTCAATTAGCGGAATCTCTTGAAGATTCTCTCTCCGCTTCCCCTTCTTCTTCTTCGTCATCGTCTTTGCCTCTCCAGAGGATCCGAGATTCTTCCGCTGAGAATCTTCTCTCTACGCCATGGCCGTCACGAAGAGACGAGCCTTTCCGTTTCACCGACACGTCATTCATCCGGCATTCCCAGATCGAACCCGTCTCGACCCAGCAACGAAATTCGAAGATCTTGGAGGACCTGACGGAAACCCAGTTCCCAAACGTCGTGATAATTGACGGGTTCGTTTCGAATTTGGCCGTTGGCCCATCCGATTTGCCCGATGGGGTTTATGTCGGAAACTTTGCGGGCATACCCGATGAGATTTCGAATCGGGTATCCGAATTCATCGGTAATTTTGATTCTGGTGATCTCTTCTGGTCGATTAACGGAATGGGTGCACCGGATTTGACGGTGATTTATGTTCCCGTGGGATGTAGGGTAGAGAATCCGATTCTTTTGAGGTACTTCACCGGCGAGACCGGTGACCGGCAGTCGAAGCGGTTGCCGGTGTCGAATCCTAGGGTTTTTGTGTTGGTGGAGGAAGGAGGAGAGATTGGTATAGTTGAGGAATTTGTCGGAAAAGACAGAGACGGGTTCTATTGGGCAAATCCGGTTATGGAAGTTGTGGCTCGAAAAGGTGCAAAAGTTAGTCATTCTTACTTGCAGAGGGAATCTATGGCTGCTGCTCATATCAAGTGGACTTCTGTCCGACAGGTTTGTTTTATTACTGTCTTCTCGTTTTCGTCATAGAAGTCTATGCGTTGTTACTTCAGTTCAGGTTGTCTTTATGGTTCGTCTGTACTGGAAATTGTTACATTGGAGGTAGTAAGTCAAGTGACAAGCAGATTTATGTGTGCTTGCTTTCGTAGTTCTGCGTCAAATGAGTTGGAAATTTGGAATCTTTATACTGAATTGTTGTTGAATTCGATTCAGAGGAGAAGAACACATCTTTGTCAAGAACTGAAGCTGCTTTAAGAAAGATCTTGAATCTTGCTGCTTAGTGCTTAGTGAGACTGGCCCTTTAGGCTTTTACTGAGCGGCTGGGTGGTGAAAAAAAAATGCGAACTTGAACTTGATGTCTCTGCAGGAGACAGATAGTACTTACGAGCTCGTGGAAGTGAGCACGGGTGGAAGATTGGGGAGGCACAATGTCCATGTCCAGCAGCTGGGACCCGACACTGTGACAGAACTAACTACATTTCATCTGTGTTTTGATGAGCAAACGCTGGATTTACACAGTAGAATTGTCTTGGACCATCCACGTGGATTTTCCCGGCAGCTTCACAAGTGCATTGTGGCTCATCCTTCAGGTCAAGCTGTTTTTGACGGCAATGTCAGGGTTAACAAGTAAGCTCTGGTTCTACTCTTTGCTATTCTTGTCCATTAGATCTTAGATTGCTGTCTCTGTTTAGAAGATCTTAGATTGTTGTCTATGTTTAGAAGATCTTAGATTGTTTTCTCTGACGGGTCTGAGCCCATTGTATGCAGTCTTAGAATATAGCTCAACCTATGGCTATTGCTCAACCTATGGCTGTACTGATTTTGAATCTTTTTGTGGCATATCGGCCCAATTGATAGACTGGAAACAAATTTAAGATATCTTCTTGTTCGATTCAGATTCGCCCAACAGACAGATGCTGGGCAATTAACCCGAAGCCTCCTCTTGGAACCTCGAGCAACAGTGAACGTGAAACCAAACCTTCAGATCATAGCGGATGATGTGAAATGCTCACATGGAGCTGCGATAAGTGATCTGGACGATGACCAGCTTTTCTATTTCCAAGCTCGCGGGATCGATCTAGAAACTGCTAGAAGGGCCCTCATACTATCTTTCGGTTCTGAGGTTATTGAACGGCTGCCTTGCGGAGATACCCGTAACCGAGCCGAGGATCATGTGAAAGAAATTGTTGCATTCCGCACGTAAAAAAAGGTTACCGCAGTAACTGAAAGTTGTGATCTTTTTGTAGATATATTCATCAAAGTTTTCATGGTGAGACTGGGGAAAGGTATGGAAGGGATTGATTGCTGAAATCGGACAGGAAATCTTTGATGTCGGGTTTTTGGTTGTCATTGTTGTTTGTTGCAGATGTACAGTGGCCGAGGAGGAAGGAAGAAGTGATCCCACATCGAGAAATTTCGAATGTAAGCTTTACGAACTGGGACTTTAATTTTATTGGAATTTTGGATTATTTCAATATATATATGTATATACGTATATATATATATATATATGACTAGAAAAATAAAATAAAATTGAAAAAATAATAAATGATTTGTGTAATGTTATATAACTAAAAAGAAAATTATATAATATCGCTCATAATTTGAACAAAATTTATATATTTAATAAATTTTAGAAGGACAATAGGCAATATAAAAAGTTGCAACAGAAAACTTATGATTACCAAAAAAAAATGTCAATTTATCTTAATTAAAAAAATCCAAGAGAAAAAGGGTGCAGGCTAAGATATGGACCTCGAGGTTTTATTGGGCCTTCTGGCCTTGATGGGCCTTAAGCCTTATAATTGTACAGCCTTAATGGGCCTTTGGTCTTAATGGGCCTTAAGCTATAATTGGTCTACAGCCTTAATAGGCCTCTGGGCCTTTAAATTTTAAACTGGACAGACCTTCCGTCCCTGGGGCCTGGACCGCATTAAATTATCACACGCGCACTGATGGCGCGTGAACGTCACCGCCGCGAAATCCCCGGACTATAGTCCAGCGGTTTTGCCCAATTTTCATCAAATCAGGAAATGAGGCGCGTGGGACAAAGCCAAACTTTTCATAATTAATTAAAACCCCATATGTTTTTGAGTTTCTTATTTTTTTCTACCCAATCCCAATATTAACAATTTTTTTTAGTGAAGGTAAAATTAAAATCCTAGTAACGATAAGTTTATACATAAAACTTTTCTATAATCCATTTATAATTGTTTCTAACAAATATAATATTAATTATGGGAAATTTATTAGAAACGAAGATCTCATCGGCAAAGTCTAATGATTTTTAAAGTCATATAAATATTTTTTAACAAATTTAACATACAATTCCCTTGATATAATGGATATTAGATAAGAGAATAAAATTTAAAAATATATATGATCTTTTATATCTTAAACACTAATTAGGATATTAATATTCTCTCACACACACTAGAGGCAATATTTTTTTTACCTAACCTCTTAATTTATAAATTTTTAAGATTAAATCAAATTTAAAAAAATATTTTGGACCAAAATAACTAATAAAAATACAATATATGTTCTATTTATGTAATTAAGTTGTGAGAAAATATATCAAAACGAAATTTTGATATATTTCATTAAATTTTAATAAATTTTAGATTAATAACAAATTCCATAATTTTGTTTTAAATCTAAGTTTGATTGTAAAAAAATTAAAATTGAATTATAAATCACATATATTTTTTTTTTTTGCAGTACGTTTTACATATAATATCAATATTACCTTTTCTGCAAAAATGTTTTTTTTTTTAATTCTTTTTTTTTGTTTGTAAGGTATACAAAAATATTAAATACTTAAATTTAAATTTTAGAGACAAAATATGTTTAATTAAAAATAAAAAAACGGTTATCCTGAACCTTTTTTTCCAAATAACAATAATTTGAAGTAACTGGATACATGACTCAATTAAATATAATTAGAAAAAAAAAACTAGGAGAATAGGATGCAGACAAAAGGCCCTAACCAAATGGACGTTGAGGCACTAATGGGCCTTGCGGCCTTAATGGGCTTAATTGCCTTTAATGGGCCTACAGTATTAATGGACCTCTCGGCCTTTAATTTAATGCGCCTACAATATTAATGGACCTCTCGGCCCATGCGGCCTTAAAAAAATTGAACGCATACAATTATCGCACGCGCACTGATGGCGCGTGAACGACACCGCCGCAAAATCCCCGGACCATAGTCCAGCGGTTTTGTCCGATTTTCATCAAATCAGGAAATGAGGCGCGTGAGGAAAAACCAAACTTTTCATAATTAAATAAAACCTCTATGTTTTTAGTTTCTTATTTTTCTCGACCCTTCACGATATAAAAACTTTTTTTAGTTAAGGTAAAGTTAAAGTTCTAGTGACGATACTTTTATACATAAAACATTTCTATAATCCATTTTACAATTTTTGCTAACAATATAATATTAATTACGGGAAATTTATTGGAAACAAAAATTTCGTCGGGGCGAAGTCTAATAATTTTTAAAGTCATAAAAATATTATTTTAACAAATTTAAAATACAATTCCCTAGATATAATAGGATATTATACAGAGAAATAAAATTACAAAAAAAATATATGACCTTTTATATCTGATACACTAATTAGGATTTTAATATTCTCTCAAACACACTAGAGAAATATTATTTTTATTAATTTATAAATTTTCAAGATTAAATCAAATTTAAAAAAAATAATTTGGGTGAAAATAGTTCGTAAAATACAATATATATATATATATCCTGTTTATGTAATTAGGTTGTGATATATTAATCAAGACAAAATTTTGATATATTTCATTAAATTTTAATAATTTTTAGATTCATAACAAATTCAATAATTTTGTATCTAATCTAATTTTTTTATTATAAAATTATAGACATTTTTACAATTGAATTAAATCACAAATATATTTTTTTAAATACGTTTATTCATATAATATCGAAATTATTTTTTTGCAAATATTTTTTTTTATTTTATCTATTTTTCAAGGTATACAAATATTAGATCCTTAAATTTAAATTTTAGAGATAAAAATCTGTAAAACTGTAAAAAGTTTTAAAAACAGTTATCCAGATTTAATTGGATGCATGAGTCAATTAAATATAATTAGAAGAAAATAAGCAGAGGATGCAAACAAAAGGCCCTAACGAAATGGACCTCGAGGCATTATTGAGCCTTATGTCCTTAATGGGCCTAATCGCCTTTAATGGGCCCCTTCAGTGTTTATGGGCTTCAGGGCCTTTAAGTTTAAACTCATATAAGGCTTTCACGCCCAGACGGCCCATTAAACGCTAAAAATTACCACACGCGCACTAATGGCGCGTGTCCGACACCGTCGCGAAATCCCCGGACTATATTCCAGTGGTTTTGCCCAATTTTCATCAAATCGGGCAATGAGGCGCGTGGGACAAAACTGACACTTTCATAATTAATTAAAAAACCCGTATCTTTTAGTCCAGAAATTAACCTTTTTTTTAAAGGTAAAATTAACACTTACATCCTATTTATGTAATTAAGTTAAAAAATAATTAAAACAAGATTTTGGTGTATTTCATTTAATTCAATAAATTTTCATTTATAACAATATCAATAAATTTTTTTAAAATGTAACTTTTGATAATTAAAATTGACTTACATATTGAATAAATAACAAATTTAAATACATTTAAATAAAAAAATTATGAATATAACTAATTATCCCAAAGCTTCACGGGTATTTAAAAAATTATGAAAATATTCTAAAAAAGTTTTGAAATTAAATCTCCAACATTAAACAAACTCTAACCTAATATTTATTTGGTGGGAAAATTGCTTGATATTTATTTCAAAATAAACATTTTAAAAGTCGGAAAAAAATCAATTGTTTTCATTTTTCACAAACATAGGTAGGGCTGAACGTTTCCGTTCGGTTCTTCGGAATCGGACCGAACCGAACCAAAAAAACATTACTTTTTCCGATCTGAAACCGTTCTTAATTCACGAACGATACCATTTTTAGAGAACCGAATTTTCCATGAATCGAACCAAACTTTAAAAATCCCAAAAAACCGAATATTTTTAAAGTAAATCTATCATTTTTTTAATAAAACCCGGAACCGAACCGAACCGATATCGAAACCGAACCAAATACAATATAAAAACCGATTGGTACCTATTTTAGTAAAACCGAAAAAATCGAACCGATCTCTTCCCATCCCGAACCCAAACCATTTACCAAAACTCCCAGCCCTAAACATACGTGTGCCTATGCAAGTGCTAAGTGTAATTTGTATGTGTTGGATCACTTCCACAAACCCAGGAACCAAAATTGGGACTAAATCCACCAAATTAAGACATTATAAGAACTTCATGTCCTTATCCTTCTTTTAACATCTGCAAAAGTGCATGTATACCCCTTTTGGCCCCCCTTCCCTTCTCCTCTTTTCTTCACCAAATTACATACCATTTCTTTCTTCTTTTTTTTCTTTTTTCTTTTTGGCTTTCCCCACTATCAACCCATCTTCTACCATATCATATTCAACTAAAACAGCCAACATACTAAACCTAATTGATGGAAAAAACCCTAATCTACTCGAAAATTTCTAAAAACTGGATATATAAACTCATCAAAAAGGTGAAAATGAAAAAAAAAAATAAGGCAAAAAGACCTGAACCGGGTATCATTCTTTCCTCAGGTGGCTTGAAGTGTTTGGCCGGGATTTCATTTCAGAGGTACTTCCCAGAGGATTTCCAGATCCTACCTTCGAGGGATATAACAAGGACGGTGCAGTCATCGTGATACTTTCTTCGATCTCCTTGTGGGATATCGAGAAGGTCATGAAAAGCCAGTCCTGTCCAAGAATCCATTCATTAGGACCAAATCATGATCAATGGAAAACACTTCAACCATGAAAGTGTAATAGAAGATACAATATACAACAGCATGTACCGCCCCGCCCTTGTAGTCAAAATGCTAAAGCTGCCAACTTTATGCAAACCCAAGTCAAGATATGAGGGAAAGCTCCCTACTTTCTTGGATATAGGCTAGTTTCTATTCCAAGTTTCCTTTTTTTCATTACATTGACTATAAATCACATAACCTACAGACCAAAGTTGTAGGAGTTTCCATGTCTAGTTTCTGTATATGCTGAGGTTTAGTGTCCCTAAAACCAAAAAAGAAAGAAAAAGAAAAGCTATGTGTATGCATATACAGAAACCAAGATGTAGTTAATCACATATCCTGTTTCTTATGCTGGGTGTCAATTTTCCATCAAAATGAACCATTATAACTCATTCTACCAACAAATAAATAAACCCAATAATCTGAGAAACAATCACAAGACAAGTTTCACATCAAGCAGATATACAAAACACACAAATACGAACTTTAAGCAAACTAGTTTCTTTCTCAAGAATCAGTCCTCCTTGCCTTGTATGTTTGAAGCATATCATATAGCTCTCCGGCCAGTTTAATCATAGTTCGTGAAAGGGGTCAGGTCAGGTCGAAGGTAAGACAAAAGACATGCATGAGAGAAGGACATGTTTGAAGGGAAGGAGTAGTGTACCAAGAATGGAATGAAGGTCTGAGGCCAGGGCAATTGACCTTCGCTAAGCTCTATCCGCAACTCGAAAAAAAAAAAACCAATCCTATAGCGCTAGCGCTTCGCGTTCTTTCTATTTTATCTCATTTCATTCCGAATTCTTCTATCCCAACTAGGTTTATGAATTTTTCTATCAATTCCATTACCTTATCCTTACCCATGAGGTTCCAACATTTGACCTTTAATTGATCTAGGAGTTGTTTCCGGGCATCAAGGTTATTATACACCCCAACCCCATCTCTTAGAAAGAAAAAGGTAGCACCGAAGAATGGAAAGAGCGAGATGGTGGTTTTAGTTGTTCCCGTCATCTCTTTTTGTTTCCAAGTTTTAACTTTAACTGACAGAAATCATTTACCAACAAGGTGATTTACTTACAGCTATTCCTGTGGTCTATCTGGCAATTATGTTTTTATCATGGGAGAACAAATGAATATAGAGGGAAAGCTGCTTACCAGCTTTCTTGGCAGCTCGAACGAGAAGTTCTTGTATTACGTGTTGGGCAGGGTCTCCATCTGGAAACTTCTCCATGGCAAGAGAAACAACTTCCTCGTTGGTCAGGTATTGGTACAACCCATCGGACGAGAGAACTAAAAATTGATCGCTCTCGGAAAGATGATAGTGACGAAGGGAAGGCAAACATGATATGTATGGAGTGGTGCCGATGAAATCATTCCGGAACATTTCCAGTAACGCGTCATTCAGCTTGGGCTGCAAATCACTTTCTTTGTCAGAGCTATCACTTTCAAATTTTCTCAGAGAATTCGGTGGAGAATGATAAATTCAATTCAGATCTATATTGCCTAACCTGCTTCAAGAACCCTGCCCCGAACGCTCTGGTCACCTTAAGCCGACCCTTCACTCTGTCATTCAAAATGCATTGGCTGTCATCTGGGTGCTCATTCTTTATTCTTGTTACTTCCTGAGAACATTAATGGAAGAAAGGTTTAGGACATGTAAGCCTGTCATGAAACAACAATATTCAAACAAGCAGATCAAACCAGCATTACTATATTGGGCAACCAAACTATAGAACTTTACCAAGCCAATCATGTTTTTAACAACCAAAGGAGTTAGCAACCAGGATGTGCAAAACCATCATCACTTACTAAATCTAATGAATAGAGACATCCTTCCATGTGAGTTCCAAAAGGAAATGCTTACTAATCAGCAAAAACTTAGAAATGTTTGTTTCCAACTATCCTAAGATGCAAAGTGTTTGTGCCGCTAAGAAGGTTCATAATATATCAGCAAGAAACAAAATCACGGCCACATACTCCAACTTCACACTTAGGCTACTCGAACTATATACGGATATATGTAGCCATGATTAAGGCCGATAGTACGGACACAAGCTGCAATGTGGGATGACAAACAAATACAGCAAAACAATATATAAGAGAAATCTAAGAGAGAGACCGAGCAAATGCAGAAACAATAGTGAGATTTAGAGTCTCGACTTACATCCTCGATGCTTGTACTGTGGTCTGTGGACAACTGCAAGGCAGTCAATTTCAACGTCTGAGGAGGAGTTTCATCTACCACTGCACTATCCTTTTCATCCGCAACAGAGGGCTCTTTGCTATCATCCTCTTTGTTTAAATCATCTCTTCTTTCTTCTTCTTGCCCTCCTATCTCAACGCTAGAACCCTCTTCTTTTACATGATATTGCGCAATAAGTGCCCTACTATCACCTAAGTTCATTACATATACATCCTCATCCCTCATCAGCACAACCAGCAAGCACGAACCCATCAACGCAAGCTCAGGATTTGTATCGAGAACCTTATCCGTCATCTCCAGGAATGCTTGCTCTGTTGCTTCGAGGGCATTAGACATTGCCCTCAAAACCAGTTCATGATCAATTGGACCAGCCTTTCGTCTCTTCTTCTGCTTCGCAGAATGTTCCTCTACCCTATGATCCACCTCTTCTACCTCTTTTTCCTCCAAGCCAAACCTCCAAGGGAACAGCTTTCTCCCGGAAACCCCCTCCTTATGTTTGGACAAACCCTGCTTCAATTTTGACAACAGCATCCACCTCTTACTGCCAACAGACCCAGCAGCGCTTGCCCTAAGAGCATCATCCACCGAGAAGGCAAACCTGTCAGACCCTGAAAGATCCAAACCATCTTCTGCTTCAGCCTCTGCAAGAAGCTCCCACAACCTTTTCCTCACCTTAGTTTCCTCGACCTCGGGGTGAGATGCCAAGTTCTTGGCTTTGCCCTGACCTTGTAATACATCTCTATCGGTTATCTCATTCTCTGTCTCCAAACTGCTGGTACTTGCAGTTTGATCGACTTCAACCTCTACCTTGCTCTGTTGTTCTAACTCTACAGAACTACTATCTGTCTTACTATTATCCACCGCAATTGTTGCTGTTGGATTGTCATCTTTGTTAATGTTGTCTCCTAACTGCTCGTCTTGTTCATCCAATTCCCAGAACAAGCCCTGTAACTCACTATAAACAGCACGATAGAGATTAGCCATCAAGAATTCCGGCGCGTCGGGCCCATTGAACCCGTCATAGATTCCGGCGAAGAGCCATCCTTGCTTCTCCGAAACCACCAATTGCACCCTATCCTCTCCTGCCTTTCCCAATGCCCACTGTAAGTCGCTCTCACTATCGCTCCTCGCCCTCTCCGCCGCCGCAGCCTCGTCGAGGACGCCGCCGCCACCGCTGCCGTCGGGGCCGACAATGTTCTCCTTCCGACCACCTACGAAGTTCAGCACCGGCACAACCCACGGCCGTTGCTTCCTCTCCGCGAAATTCGGGTGCCACGAGAGGCTCTTCTTCCTCTTCTTCCTCCTTTTCTTCAAATACAAACCACCAAGCGGCGCCGAGAAATGCACGCCGCCCGATTCGGATCCAGGAATCGGATCCAAAGGCCCAGAAATCGTGCCTCTCTCAATCGGACCGGACATGAACAGACCGCTTCCCTCTATCGGACCAGATTGGTCGGCGGCTCCGGCGCCGTTGGAGCCTCGCGGCACCGGTTGCAGCGGAAGAGCCCTAAACGACGATGTTCCTTCGAACCCATTGGCATTGACGACACAGCTTCGCGAACCGTACGCATGACCACCGCCGAAAGCGCTCTCAGTGGCATCGTCGTAAATACTGTCAAGTTGGAGGACAGTTCTGGGAGTCAAGGTGTTGGCGCTGACGGAGGCGCCGGAGATGGCTCTGAACACGGTCGTGAGCTGCTCGGAGGAAGAACCGGGTCGGATCCGACCCGTACCGGAACCGGGACCCGGTTCGTGGGAGGGAGAGAACCGGAATGAACCGGAAGGAGAGACGAAACGATCGGAGTGAGGGGGAGAGACGAAGCGGTTCGAGGATCGGACGTAGCAGTAGGAGTGGCCCAGAGTTTCATCCAAGGGCTCAGAGAGAGAGTAGATCAGATCGGACGGCGGAGGCTGCGCCGGCGGTTGGTGATGACGTCGGCTGCGGTGCCCTTGTCTGAGGCAAGGGAGGAGAGAGGAGAATCCGCTTCCCATCACATTTGATTCAAGCCCTGTTTGGATGCCGAGAAAATCTACCAGGAAAAGAACACGAAAATTTTCTTGGGGTTTTTTTGAATTTGCGAAGGTGAAAAAAGAGAACAGTGAAACAAGAGAGAGAGAGAGAGAGAGAGAGAGAGAGAGGGTCTTTTGTCGTCTTTTTCGTATTTAAATATTTTTCAGCTGAGAAGACTTTAGTGATTTTGAATTAGCAGACACATTGACTCTTTTCTTTCCCTTTTCTACACTTATTTACAAACATACCATCGCATGTTTTCTTAATTACATTTATCACCCTTTCAGTACCCAAAATCCTTAATTCTTCACCTAATATATCATATGATCGAAACAATAATACAAAAAATGAAAAAATAATATTACCCGGATATAATAAGGGCAGTAAGATTATATCAATTATAAAAATATAAATAAAAGATGTACCGCGAAGAAATTTTCTGAAGTGATGTTGATTTTAAAAATGACACTCATTGTGGGGTGAAATTGATCCAAATAAAAGTCTAGGGGCGCTTCTATAATTTCAATTTTAAGATTTGACTAATCGAAAATTTTCAAAGTTCCATCAAACTTCAATAATATAATCAGAGGTGATAGATGTGGTTTGGACTTTGTAATATCACTATCTAGAATTGGAAATGACGGTAATTAAATTTAATGGTATGTAACTTTACAAATACAATATTTATTTATTTTTTATTGTGTATATATAATAAGGTAAAAAATAATTTCTCGTAAAGGAATCCGCTTTTTGGGAGATAAAGCTTTGTTAATTACTCATTTTATTTAGTAGTAAAAAAAATTTTAGGGAAAAAAAAGAAAAAGGAAAAAAGAGAAAAGGGGAAGGGTCAAAATGGGGAAAATCGAGGCTAGGGTTGAAGGGTTGTTGTGTTGAGAAGCTTTTGTCCTTTGCTTTGTTTTTGCCATCGGGCTCCGGGACAATGGCGATTTTACATTTTTGTCCCTGAGATCTTTCTTTATTTTAATAGGCAACAATAAAAATAAAATTGAATAAGATAATATTTAAATATAAGCATAAAATATTGAACGGTGATTTAAAAAACAATTCGAAATATAAATATTTTTTCAATAAAATTGGCACTGAGTAAAAAATCAATTAAATTTCGGTATAAATTAAATAGACATAAAACCTAAAATATGAAAACAATTTAATCCAATTATAATCAAAATTCAATAAATCCTACATTTTTTTTTCTGAGGAAACACGAAAATTGAGAAGAAAAAAAAAAGTAGGAAAAGATAATATTTAGAGGGGTAGTTTTGTCAAACGGTCTATGGGCCTAAGAGGGCATCCGAGCAAAAGAACAAACGGTTTGACCTCGTCGAGGCCCATAACGGAAAACAACACTAAATGACAAAATTACCCCTCCGTAACTTTTTACTATTACATTGGTAATTTAAACCCTTGATTAAACTATCATAACCTTGATTATATTTTAAAAAAAATGATTTGGCATTAGCATCTTTAAAAAATTGATTAAAAAAATATATGGTTTTACAATGAAAAATAGTAATTTTTGTGACATTTTATCATATGATAATGTTTACATTTTTCGAATTTATTTCCCGCACCAAATTTAGGTGGCCGAAATTTATGGAAATTAAATTAAATTATGCGTTCATATACATATATCAAGTTATCAACCATTTAAAACTACTATTTTTTCTTTCCTTTTTATATGAAAGGAACATATTATTATTATTATTATTATTATTATTATTATTATTATTATTATTATTATTATTATTATTATTATTATTATTATTATTATTATGTTATGTTAAGGCGGGAAAATCTCTCAGCGGGTCAAAGAGTTTGTTGGTATGGACGACAAATAGAAATGAAATATCACGTGATACGTGTGGATAAATATATATATATATATATATATATATAATTAATTAATTAAAATAAACACAACATATAATTAACTAAAATTCACTAACCTTGAAAATGCAATAAATATAATCCCGTATGATGTGATCTTGGTATTTGGGCATAGAATCCTAAGCTTTTTGCCTTTGGATATGTAGTAACATGCAACTGCAGCACCATATATTTATTTGATTTAATACATACAGCTATTTAGTTTTAATTATTTAATTTCATAACAAATAAAAATGTATGATAAGATTGGTAATTAATGACCCTCCATATTATTTTAATAACGGTATTTTCCATAATAAATAAATCTCAACAAATAAAAATGGATTCAATTGAACACATTGAATAAGTGTCCTTAACCACTCAAACATTAGATCATGTCAATGAAATTATATTTTATATATAAATCAGATAACACGCATATACACACATTCATCGATAGTACCAACTATTTTTTATAATTAACGGATAGGGAAAAAAATATAATACTCTTTCCGTTTCAAAATATTTGTAATTTTATATTATTATCCATGTTTCAAAATATTAGTCATTTTACATTTTCAATACATTTTTTTAAAATAATTTCTAATTTTATCCTTACCAAATTCTAATACATTATTAATGATAATATTGTTTTATTATTAAATAAAGGGTATATATGACTTTTATTTTTATTTTTTAAAAAATGTGAAATAAGTTAAAACAACAAGGAGGGAGTAATAATAATAAAATAAATTAATAAATGGGGAAGGAAACGTAGGGTCCACGGAGAGGTGATGGGAAATGGTCAACGAGGGTGTTGACAGATGGGACCCACCTCGAAGACTCCTCCGCTAAAATGATGTCACCCTTGTCGGATTCCCTTTCCCGCCAACACTCACTATGATATTAGTTTTTTTTCCTCCCCAATTCCACTATTATTAATTAATCAAATAATCCCCAAATCCAAACTAATGCATTTACAATTAATTATTCAAATATTTATAACAATCTTATATTACATTGATTGCACATTCGTTATCCGTTGAGACATTTAAATATTAACATTTCAGATGAAATAAATAGATAAAATGATCAGTTTATGATACATACACACGATATGTATATATGGTTTTGTATTTGTATAATAGATTGGTTTATATTTATTCAACCAATTTTTACTCTGTTTTTAATATTTTGTGTTTGTTTTTTTGTCACGTTTTATTTTCTGTACGATCAATAAAATCATAGTGTGAAGAATATATACTCACATACAATTTGCAATTATATATTTTCGACTGAGTTTTCCAATTATTTTCTTAATTCCTACGTGTGCAAATATCTTCATTATATATATATATATATATTGGAAAAGATTATAAAATAGAATAAACGTGTAGATAGACGGAAAGTTGACTTTCCTTAAACGTTAAGTGCCGTTGAGGATCGGCAAAGGAACTAACTACCGTTGAAGGAAATGCTGTATAAAATCGAAATGATATTAAATTTCACAACTTCTAAATTTAATGAATTTAATATATTAATGAATGCGCATATACCCAAATTCATAGCTTCGGCTTCGACTCTCAACTACAAACCAAAACTATAGAAAACATAAAATCATGTTTTTTTTTTCACTTTCTATAAAATTCATTTTACGGTTATGTATATATTCAAATCATTACAAAATGAATTTCTAAATCGATTTTCCATCTATTAAAAGCCGAACACTAGGTAAGTGAATAATTTTATTAAGATTATAAATCTAAAGAATAAAACTAAATTTATAAATTTATAAACCAACGCAGTTTTTATTCCTATGAATATTATTTTATTATTATTTTTGTATGAATTTTGAAATAAATTTTGGGAGGGGGTGGTGGGGAATTTGTCAAAGGTAAAAAGGGTCAGCCACCCACTCAGCCACTTGAGAAGAGATTTGGTTTACTGAATTTTTCACTCTCATCTCTCTTTTTTGTGTTGGATGGGACCTAAGTTGACTTAACCTCTCATTTTCACACACACACAATATATATATATACATATATATACACACATATATACACACATATACACACACACTGTATTATTACATTATATCATATAGTAGATCATTCTCCATTAATCATGGATTCATCAAAATCAGTAAGTAACATGGGCTTTGCACAAAACCATGAGACTGACTAGATGAACATATTACAGGTAAGAATGTGCGTATCTCCCATGTTACAAGTAAACCGGAATAAACCGGTTCCAGTTGTACCGTGCGTCAATAACCAAATGCTTTGCAATTTGGTTAACTAATAAACCGGGGCAATGCCATGAACAAAAGAAAGAACCCTTTTTCAAAACTGGCCAGCTCTCAAGTCTCGATCTATACGATCTGCGTTTAACGTCCCCGGAAGCTCTCTGAAATCCTCGTTGAATATGGAATATGCGCTGCCAAAGCCAAGAACGAGAACAAAAGAAACGATAATATCTTCCGAAATTCTCTCTGCCATAAAAGACTGAACTTATTCCAGTTTACATAGTCAAAAGATAGGATTTTTTTTTCTCCTTTTCACGTTTGAAACTCAAGAAATTCCAGCTAATAAGATTAGTGGCAGAAGAATCATATGCTTCAAATTTTTTCTCCCAAAGTGGATGCCATTGGTTATATTTTGGGTTGGTATATACTTCCTCAAAGGACCAATACCAATAGATTCCTTTTTCCCGATATTTCATCCTTGTTTTTCAGAATGTGGGTTGCAGTTTACATTGGCCAGAATTGTAGATTCGCTAGAAAAAGTCGGCCTCTCTCGTATAATTCATTACTTTCACAAACACCAAATAGAGGAGGCCGAAGATTCGATGAACGTGTGTACCTGATATCACCAGGCTGTCGTTGACCAAGATTGAGCAGAATGATCGAAAAGCCAGTCCCGAGTATCTGAAAGCCAGCAAAAAGGAAAAGAAAAAAGGAACAGCAAGCAAGCAGAGCATATGAAATTACCCAAGTGAATGCTTAGAATGACAGCATACAATGCAATGGCATTGCAAAAGCTGAAACCTTTTAAGATGTCAACACGTAGAAAAGAAAACGGGTCGGATGAAAGATTGAAGAAACTTACATACAAAGGCCCGAGTTCCCAACGATGGGCAAGAGGTGCAAAGAGAAACCACAAGATGACGATAACCCATGCTTTTAAACTCAGAGAGAAAAGTCCAATGAGAAGAATATCTACATCGCCGCACAACAGATCCATAAATTATAGTTTTAGACAAATTTTCAAGTCGTGGATACTGATGTAACAGATAAGAAAAACTCACCGGGAATCTTCAACTTGTTACGCAGAAAGGAGTAGAGCCTCCTCTTCCAGCGGCTTGCTGATTGCGGGAGCTGAAACTTCTGCAGTTACGAAGAACACAGATATCGTTAAAGATTGAAACTCTATACGATTGTTGTCATGCTAATGTCCAAAATGAACATTTCGTTATTACCAATTCGTCATCTTCTTCGTCTGCCTCAACTCCAACAGGTGGTTTGGGTCTCACAGCAACGATCAAGGAATCTTACCAAATCAAACAATGGGAATGCATCACAATGATTAGGACCAATGTACGGAAATCAGATGAAACGAACTCATCCAAGTCACAAGGGTCATCGAAATTGATGTATTGAAGCACAGTGAAGACCGACAAAATGCTAAACTCTCCAGCAGAATCTGTACCTCCATCTTTGAGCGTAACGTATACATCATCTCCATCGTCATCGTCTTGCAATACCTTCCCACGCAGAATAATCCTCAAATTCGCGACAGGACATTGATTCTTTCCCGCGATCAGATTTCTCAGATCACGAACCTAATCAGGCATCGATCAATTCTCCGGACTTATCACGTATATGCATATATATACACACACACACACACAAATATCCACGCATGAACGAAACCGTATACACATAAACATGTATGGATCGGGAGAGATGAAGAGGAAGAAGACGAGAACCTACTTTGATGCGAGAGGCCACTCGAATTCGAGAAGGGCGAGCTGGGCCGATGGTTTTGAGCGAGATCTCAACAGTACCATTTTCACTCGAATTAGGGTTCGTCTCTTCGATTGAATCCACCATTCTTCAAAAAAAAATCGGTGAAGAAGCTTTCAGTTTCCAATGATCAACAGTAAATTCCGAACTAGGGTTTCGATCGATTTAGGGATACGACTTACGAGAACGGGATTCGTCTCTCGTGTCTTCGCCGATCAACGGAATATGATCATAAGTTCTCAGTATTTCCGTTTTCGCCCTTAACCATTTTATTAATTACACTTACAACCCCACATATTTACACGTTGGCGAAGACTAATCGAAAGTTCAAAATTTTACCCTCGCTCTCTCAATGACAATTCAAAGATTAATTGAAATATGATTTTCGATTTTAATTTTTTAAAATTTTGAAAATTATATATATCTTATTTTTTTATTCAACTAATATTTCAATTTATTTTTTATATTTTAAAAAGTATTTATTTTAATTATTTTTATATTGTATATGTGACTCATTTTACACTCAATCACCTAAAAAATAAATAAGAGAGAAACTTTTCCCTTTTAGTTTGTGCGCAATATCTTAGAAGGTATAACCTTCTGGCCCAAACAGCGGGTCTGGGTCACACACATCACCAAAGGATTAGACATTCATTGCCTACCATACATCTAAAGATAAAACACCCAACGAAAACTTCAAGACCCTCCTTCCATTTTTTTTTGCTCCTTTTAGGAAATCCATAACCAAAACACCCCTCATTCAATCAACCAAAAAACACACCACACAGAAAAATGGCGCTGAGGATGTGGGCTTCTTCTACAGCTAACGCTCTCAAGCTCTCTTGTGCATCCAAATCCAGCCTCTCTCCTGCTTTCTCCGTCTCCAGGTGCTTCTCCACAGGTAAAATTTTCACATCCGTACACGTGTGAAGCTTCATCATTCAATACAGAGTTTTGGGGAATGCTGACTGAAATTGTTGGGATAGTGTTGGAGGGACTGAAGTATGCAAATTCACACGAGTGGGTGAAACATGAAGGCTCTGTGGCTACCATTGGCATCACTGACCATGCCCAGGTAAAAAAGTCCCTGCCTTTTCGGTTTTTTCTTGTGGAAATTCTCAGACCCTCTTCAGAAAGTTTCAGACTTTACGAGTTTTGCCATGGCCTCAGTTCTGGGTCAGTCCTAAAACCGAGAGAAACGGGTTAGAACTCGGTTTGGGTTTTGTCACTGAATGTAGTGTCTGAATGAGAGAGTGAGATTGTGCAGGACCATCTAGGTGAAGTGGTGTTTGTGGAGCTGCCAGATGAAAAGAGTTCAGTGAACAAAGACAAACCCTTTGGAGCAGTGGAGAGTGTTAAAGCCACAAGTGAAATCATTTCCCCAATCTCCGGTGAAGTCATTGAAATCAACACAAAACTCGGCGACTCACCTGGCTTGGTAAGTTCCGAAAGAAAAGGCCTTTTTCATTAGATTGAGCAGATAATGATAACAATACCTGGATTGTGGATCGAACTGATGCAAACGTTTATCTTTGTATAGATCAACTCAAGCCCCTATGAAGATGGTTGGATGATCAAAGTGAAGCCAAGCAGTCCCTCGGAGTTGGAATCCTTGATGGGTCCAAAGGAGTACACCAAATTCTGCGAGGAAGAAGATGCTTCTCACTAGGATTTCTCCAGTCTTTTACCTTCCCAATGCCCTAAAAAGAAGACAAATATGAAAATGAGAAAAAAAACACGCACTGGTTGATTACAAGTTCAATCTATCAATTCTCATGTTTCTTTCCTTTCGGCTAGTGTATGCCTTCAATTTGCTTACAATATTCATGCCCGTGACAAAATGTATGAATCCGAGAAAAAGCAAGCAGGGTATAACATATGATACAGGCTATCTAACAAGAACACAGAGGCAGGTTTCATTGATTTTGCATCATTGCATGAAAAAGAAACGTTGACATGATGAATGGTCTTTTTCAACCACACCAAAATCTATAACTTCTCTTTGAGACATAGAGAAGATGACTTCAATACCAACTATACATTTATGCATACTGCTATCCGTGACAGACACCATTGCTGGCCTACGGGCAAAGGGCAGCATCCGGTGACTGGATGTAGGAAATTGAGATGAGTTCAGACCTGAGCCTCTCTGCTTCATCCCCAGCTGCCGGATTGACTCCTTTCTTGCTGGAAACAATGACCTTGTTTCCGGGTGAAATATCGAACGGCTTGGACTCCTCGGGTGAGGAGTACGCTATCGCGATGAGAGATTCCCGGGCTTGATCGTGAGGAACCTTGACACTCGGTCGTTCCATCAATGCGTATGTGATTCTGCATTTTGGTGGATGCACAGATTCGTCTAACATAAGCTTATTGCATTATGCAAGGACAGATGACAAATCACACTTTCACATAGAGTTTGAGAAAATGTATAACCGCCAAATGGATTGGCTGACAGAATCCAAATTCTCCATCAAGAAATGGAAGCCTTGAACAGTCAAAGGTACATAAGATCTTATCAACAGATTGAACATAAGAGATCAGAGCTATGAAAGTCAATGACAAACTCAAGAATACCATATGAGAAAACATCAAATATACTGATTTCTGAATCTACACAACAGAAATGGAAACCGACGAACCGAATCCCAGAAGGATCAGAAAACCTAAAAACCTAAAACCATCGATTCACGATTAAAACCAGACGAAGTCAATGCGTATTCTTCGTTTTTCCTTTACCCAAAATCTCCATTAAGATTTCCTCGGGAAACATACAGATACCAAAAAGGATTAGATAGAATCAACAGCAAACTCAAGAAACCCTAACGCGCGAACTCATACCCAATCAAATCAATAAAATTTCCTTTCTTCCCCACAAACTTCGCCGTTTTCCGACGCTTTCCTCGAGATCTTTTCCCGGGAAGCAGAAGGAAACGCCGATTCAATGGGACGGAATCGAAGAGAAGTAGATCGAGAGAGTGATCAGGAGATCGAAGGAAGAAACCCACCTCGATTGGATAATTCCAGCGATTTTATTGGGCATTCTGTTTCCCCACATGCTTATTTCTTTTATATACATATATATAATCAATATAATTACGTACTGAGAGAGAGAGGGGGGTAGGTTTCCCTTAACTTCATGAAAGCCCCTTCAATTTCCTAAATTATTCGTTTTGCACCACATATTATCTAAAAAATCAATTAGGCACATTAATGAGAGTAACGAATTTCATCATAATTTCGTCTCTTTAATTAGAGCCCACCGAGGAATATCGGATTTTGAATGTAATGGAACAAAACCCTTATTTAGGTTTTAATTAGAATTTACGTGATTTTATTCTCGTTAATTTATTAGAATTCAAGTGTTTTTTTATTTAATTGAAGTTTATTTTTAAGCTAATAATTAAAATATATAAAAATAAACAATTCAAGAACAATCAAATCACATGTCTTTCTATGCATACATCATTCGAGCAGAACCGTCTAATGTGTTATAAAATCACGTTAAGGATTGCCACCTATACCAAATTATATACATTCTATTCATTTCGATGGACCGACACATTGCCGGAATATGAATATATCATATAGTTCCGTTGTTCATACGGAATTAGGGAGCTTCAAAAACGTTAATCATGATTTATTTTAAAAAAAAAAATCTATTTAAATTTAAATTGAAATTGAGGAATTTGGGGCACACTGTTTTCATTTCAACGGATCTCCTAAGATGGGTCATGTCTCAGCGTGATGATATTTTAACAATAGACAAATTATATATATATGTATGTATATCCATTCAATCATAGCGCTTTCGAAATTTCCATACTTAAAATAATATTTTTTTTTTGGGTTTTTCGGTGATCGAATCTCTTGAAATAAGGTTCATACTAATCTCGAGGTCGGGATCGAGGTCGGGATCAGTCATACGAAAATAATACTCCTTAATTATAAAATTGTGAGAAACTTTATTTCATCAGATTTTTATATATGTTATGAGTAAATATATATGTTAGTCCTACCAAAATTATAAGAAATGTGAGTAAATATATGTTAGTCATATTTCTATAAATGCGACATTGTTCATATTTCTATATTGGAATCTAAAAGGCTTTGTTAGGGTAAGCGACAATTTCGGATAAGATACCGAATACTAAACACAAGCGAAAATATAGAGAAGATGTGACCTAATTCACACATTATCATTTTCAATTTTAATTTTAACATTTATTTCCCGGTATAGAATAATTATTTCCAAAATGTATAAATATAAATTAATTAATATGTACTTATATAGTAATGTTATAGGCAAAGTTTTGTTAACACCTCTCCCTCTATAGATATATATACATATCGTTACTTATAATTATTTTATATAAAATATAAATAACAAACTAAGTATATATCACTGTAATAGAATTTAAAATAAACAGTTTGAATTTATCGAATATTTTTGTTTTTGTTTTTAATATTTTCTCCAATAACACCATCCAATTTAAGCCATCAAGGTCGAACACCTTCGTTTCGGTCTATATAATCAATCATATAATTCGCGTTTTTTAGGGTTTTTTTTTGTACCCAATAAAAAATTTCACGATTGTTGTAATCATTCTTCGTGACTTATTTCGAAAAAGTTTATTTTTCTTTCATAATAAAAGGATACGGATATAAATGTTGCGTGACCTAAAAGTCCCAATAAAATTATACCAAAATTAAAAAAAAAAATCCCAAGGAAAAGATTTAAAAGTTGAGAAAAGACGAAGAGTTGAGGATTTGCTTTCAAATCAAGACCTAAGTTTTTATTTGTCGTCTTTAACAAATAGCGATATATATGTGGTGTTATATATATATATATATATATATATATGTATGTATATAATTTGGGTGGTTTTATGCAACGTGACATCACTTCGTGTAAAAGGGAGATCGATGCATGAACAGTGCATGCACTTTGGAAGACGGTATACATTGTCAAAACTTTATATTATAATAAATATATAGAATTGTCAAGTTCTTGTTAGATATATAACTCATAAGAGAGCTACCTAAATTTGGTGGCATAAGAATATAAAATCAAGTGGACACAAAGTGGGTTCTAGAACCATCGCAAACCGGTACGCCTACATCGCTCCGGTTCGAGTGAACCGACCGGTTCGAGTTTCATTACCGATCATGCCGGTTTTTGGTTTATAATTAGTCGTTTCTGAAAATAAACTACGGAATTCGGATCACAACCCTAATTTATATGGTTCGGGATGAACCGGAATGTATGTATTTTGGTTGTATATCGGTCTTTGGTTAACGGGTTTTGAAATCGATTTCTGAACCGGGTATTTGTCTAAACCGGATTCTAACCCTAAGGAAAAGAGAACAACCGTCGGCGAATTGCAGTGAATAGAGAGATGTGAAGAGTCATTTAGTCACAATCAGATGCCCAAGCCACTCCCCAATGGTCATTAAGGAAACATAATTACAGGTTAACTATGATTACCGGTCTAATATTATATGATTAAATTTAAAATATGCAAGAGAAATATTTTTATATTTTTGCTGTTTTTTTTTATTTGGGATGACCTAACTACAGGTCAAAAGTTTTTTTTTCCGTGTGGAATTTATCATTAAAAAATCCATTATATAATACTTTTCTTAATGTTGAAATAAAATAAAAAAAGTTGTCTCATCGAGATTTTTGAATTGATTTGTTAATTCTTATATCTTTCTTTCTATCTTTCTTTTTTTATAAAAAAAAAACATTTTTGAATTGATTTATTAAAATCTAAAATATTTATTAAAATTTTCTAATTTAAACGCTTTTTACACAATTTTTTATTGAAAATTTTAAGCTGTAATCACGTAACAGATAATTCGATTTTTTTATTCGTCCATGAAGCATGCGTGGATCGCTCAAGTACTGATCCATCTTCTATATATATATATATATATATATATATATATATATATATATATATATTTTTTTTGTGGGGGGAAAGTTTGGTTTCATGCTTTGTTGTTCGGACAAAAGAAGGAACCCGATAGAAAGCCAAACGAGTCATCGGTTCGAATTTCCACACGTGTTTTTCTTGAATCTTTTTTACATGTTAACCTCGTGCTTTGACAACCCATGTCCCATTGATTGCCTCCTTTCGTTTATGTGTCTTTTAGATGTTTTCCATTACTCTTCTTCTTTTTCTTCTTTCTTCTTCTTCTTGTTTTTATCTCACGATTTTGTGTTTATAGTTTATATATTTTAAGCATAGCCATGGATATTCAACATCAATTCAATGAACATATCGTAAACTTGGACTCGTCCAAGGTATAGAATGATATTAATATTGAATGGTTTAAATTTCATTCCTTAACATATCATAATTATAGATTCTACATTTTATGGCATTTGTCACGTACCAGGTTCGAGGGTGAGAAAATATGCGGCTGCTTTATTCAAGCTTTTTACATTAACTTATATACATTCTCTGTAACTTAACCTAGCCTATAAATTAGGAAATGCAATCTGTAGATATAACAACTTCACATAATAGTCATATATATTCCATTACCCCCCTCAAGTTGGAGCATATATGTCATATGTGCCTAACTTGTCCAAGAAGAGTTCGAATTCTTTCTTGCCAAGGGCCTTCGTGAAAATATCCGCGAGTTGGTTGTAGGTAGAGACGTGACGAGTGGTGATGTTGCGGGTGGTGAGATGGTGACGCAGAAAATGACAATCCACCTCTATGTGTTTCGTTCGTTCGTGAAACACATCATTAGCCGCAATTTGTAGTGCTGATTGACTGTCACTGTAGATGGCCATTGGTGCGGTGTGATTGGCGCCGAGGAAGAGAAGCAACCCTTTGAGCCATATGAGTTCACAAGTAGTGACCGCCATTGCGCGGTATTCAGCCTCTGCGGAAGAGAGAGAAATAGTATGTTGCTTCTTAGACTTCCAGGAGATCGGAGATTGACCGAGATGAATAATCCAGCCGGAGAGTGACTTTCGTGAACGTGGGCATCCCGCCCAATCCGAATCACACCAACCATATAAGCGGAGATCCGAATCTGATCGTAATAAAATCCCTTGCCCCGGGCGACGCTTAAGGTATCGAACGACACGAAGAGCTGCTTCCCAATGATCTTGTCGAGGTTCTTGCATAAACTGAGACAAAACGTGTACCGCATAAGTGATATCGGGTCTGGTGGCAAGGAGGTATATAAGACGTCCAACGAGACGACGGTAAGGCTCGGGGTCTTGGAGAACAGCGCTTTCGGAAAGACCTAAGCGATGATTCTGATCCAGAGGAAATGCAACTGGTTTTGCGCCCAACAAACCCGTTTCTGACAAAATATCCAATGTATATTTGCGTTGACACATCGAGATACCCATAGGACCACGAGCAACCTCAATACCGAGGAAATACTTAAGAGAACCAAGATCCTTCATATGGAAGCAATGGCCAAGGTACTGCTTGAAAAGAGTCACGGCTGGCACTGAATTGCCTGTAACAAGCAAATCGTCAACGTAAATTAAGACATGAATCCGAGTCTCGCCTTTGTGGAAAACGAATAAGGAATGATCCGACTGCGATTGGATGAAACCATAAGTTAGGAGCGCTGAAGCAAGCTTCGCAAACCAACATCTCGGTGCTTGTTTGAGACCATATAAAGATTTCCGTAGGCGACAGACGAGATGAGAAGAAACCGTAGAAAATCCCGGAGGGGGTTTCATGTAAACCTCATCAGAGAGATCGCCATGGAGAAAAGCATTGTGTACATCCATCTGATGGACATCCCATTTTCGAGCCGATGCCACGGCTAAGAAAGTTCTCACGGTAACCATCTTAGCAACGGGAGCAAATGTCTCCGCATAATCGATTCCTTCTGTTTGCTTGTTTCCGAGGATTACTAGTCGGGCTTTTCGGCGTTCAATGGACCCGTCAGAGCGATACTTGAGTCTGAAAACCCATTTACACCCTATGGCTTTCTTTGTCGGAGGCAAAGGTTCTAGAGTCCATGTCTGATTGTTTTGGAGAGCATCGAGCTCATCTTGCATCGCTGCTCGCCAATTATCATCTCGGAGAGCTTGTTGGTAACTGCGAGGTTCAGATTCTGCAGTAACAGCAGC